GACAGCAAAGTGTCATTTTACACTGTTATACAAGCTGTACACTCAGTACTTTACATTGTAGCAAAGTGTCATTTCTTCAGTGTTGTCACATGAAAAGATATAATAAAATATTTACAAAAAATGTGAGGGGTGTACTCACTTCTATTATATATATATATATATTATAAAATATAGATACTACAAATATATATACATACATATACACACACATATACACATACATATACACACACACACACATACATACACACACACACACACACATATATACACACACACACACACATATATACACACACACACACATATATATATATATATACACACACACATATATATATATATATATACACACACCACACACACATATATATACACACACACACACACACACATATATATATATATACACACATACACACACACATATATATATACACACACACACACATATATACATACATATATATACACACACACACACACATATATATACACACACACACACACGTATATATACACACACACACACACACATATATATACACACACACACACACACATATATTGACACACACACACCACACCTGTAGCAGTGAACACTACACACACACATTCGGGATATGCTATGGATAAAAATATTTGACACACAGAGTCTGATGATATATACACACACACACACCATATATAAGATTTACACACACACAACCTCTAATAGTATGTGTTTACATATATATGTATACATATATTATACACACACACACACAAAAGCATTGGGACACCCCTCACCAAATCATTGGATTCAGGTGTTCCAATTGGCTCCATAGCCACAGGTGTATAAAATCAAGCAGCACCTAGGCATGCAGACTGCTTCTATAAACATATGTGAAAGAATGGGCCGCTCTCAGGAGCTCAGTGAATCCAAGGGTGGTACCCCGATTCAGCCACGAAGTGTTAGGCCACTTAACGACACTTACCACGCTATAGCCGAATAACAGCTACAGCGCTGCGAGTACTGCCGATAACCGGCAGCTGTCACCAAGCAGATCGGCACTGATGGTCAGTGCCCTGCAGTGCAGCCCGGCAGTGCCACCTACCAGTGCCCAGCAGTGGACCCACCAGTGTCCAGAAGTGCCACCAAGCAGTTGCACCCATCAGCGACGCCTATCAGTGCAGCATCATCAGTGTCTCCTAATCAATGCCCACCAGTGCCACCTAATCAGTGCTGCCTAATCGAAGCACATCAGTGAAGGAGAAAAATTACCTGTTTGCAAAATTTTATAATAGAAACAAAGAAAATCTTTTTTTCAAAATGTTTTGCTCTTTGTTTATAGTGCAAAAAATAAACTCAGTGGCGATTAAATACCACCAAAAGAAAGCTCTATTTGTGTGAAAAAAATTATAAAAATTTAACATGGGTACAGTGTTGCATGACCGCGCAATTTTCATTCAAAGTGCGACAGCGCTGAAAGCTGAAAATTGGCCTTGGCAGAAAGGGGGTAAAAGTGCCCGGTAGGCAAGTGGTTAAAATGATAGAGCAGAATCACCGCATGCTGAAGTGCACAGAGCGCAGAAGTCGCCAACTGTCTGCAAAGTCAATAGCTAAAGATCTCCAACCTTCGTGTGGCCTTCAGATTAACACAACAACAGTGTGTAGAGGGCTTCATGGAATAGGTTTCTATGGCTGAGCAGCTGCATCCAAGCCTTACATCACCAAGTGCAATGCAAAGTGTTGGCTGCAGTAGTGTAAAGCACTTTGCCACTGGACTCTACAGCAGAACAGTACTTGCCTGACTGCATTGTGCCAAGTGTAAAGTTTGGTGGAGGGGGGATTATGGTGTGGGGTTGTTTTTCAGGGGCTGGGCTTGGCCCCTTAGTTCCAATGAAGGGAACTCTTAAGGCGTCAGCATACCAAGACATTTTGGACAATTTCATGCTCTCGGATATGTGTAAACAGTTTGGGGATGGCCCCTTCCTGTTCCAACATGACTGCGCACCAGTGCACAAAGAAAGGTCCAAAGAAATGGATTAGCAAATTTGGGGTGGAAGAACTTGACTGGCCTGCACAGTCCTAACCTCAACCCAACACGTTTGGGATGAATTAAAGCGGAGACTGCGAGCCAGGCCTTCTCGTCGGACATCAGTGACTGATCTCACAAATGCGCTTCTGGAAGACTGGTCAAACATTCCCAAAGACACTCCTAAACCTTGTGGACAGCCTTCCCAAAAGAGTTGAAGCTGTTTTAGCTGCAAAGGGTGGGCCAACTCAATATTGAACCCTACGGACTAAGACTAGGATGCCATTAAAGCTCATGTGCATTTAAAGGCAAGCATCACAATACTTTTGGCAATATAGTGTGTACATTTATTACAGGTACTTATATAGTGCCATCAATTTACGCAGCGCTTTACACACACATTGTACATTCACATCAGTCCCTAACCCCCAAGGGGCGTACAGTCTAAGGTCCCTAACTTACATTCATACATACACATACAGGAATGGTGAATTCCTATCGCCAGGTGCCCAGGACATGTAGTTCCGGGCACATTGCAGGTAGTTTTTTTTAACCTTCAGTGGGCAAGCAGCAGGGCTCACCTGTCAAGTAGAAGCATTCGGGCGGCAGAGCTGCTGCAAGAATGCTTCCACACAGTGCCAGCCTCTCCGCCCCTGTCCCACTGTCTCCTGGCTCCGCTTGCCCATCTGCAGACCCGGGACTGGATCATCGCCAGCAGCTAGAGGGGAGGGAGGACAGCGGACATGTCCGCTTCCCTCCCCTTCTTGTCCTGACCTGGAAGTGACGTTATGTCACTTTCGGGTCCCCGTTGAGAGATTCCCAGCAATTGAGGCCGGGAAAGAATGTAATGAAGTGTGATGTGCACTGCACTGCATAACATTCAGGTGAGCACACGGTCTTTTAGACCTTGGATGTCTCAATAAAGAGAACCTGTCACAAAAAAATCATCACATAGGGTCCCCTATGTGATGAAAAAATTTTTTTTTTTAATTTTTTGTTGTAAAAAAAATTAAAGTTACACCCAAGCACATAACATCCCTCACCCCCCACAAAAATTGAGCCCCCCACATATACGCACGCACAAACATAAAAGCACACACTGGGGCGCCTACGTATATAAACTTGAGCCATCAATTTACACAGCGCTTTACAGACACACATTGTACATTCACATCAGTCCCTAACCCCAAGGGGCGTACAGTCCAAGGTCGATTGCGATACACGTTACATATCACCAGACCTCCTCCGTAACACTATATTGACCTAGAAGGGGCTTTAAAAGCATTACCTATAGAAAATATAGGATACTAAAGTTTGTCGCCATTTCACGAGTGCACACAAATTTAAGGTTTGACATGTTGGATATCTATTTACTCGATGGAACCTCATCATCTTTTATATTTTACAAAAAAATAGGGTAACTTATTGCTTTTTTTTGTGCCCTAAAATTAACTGACTTGTATTTTTTACTGAAATTTTGCAGTAAATATCATGCAACACAAAAAAATTGGAACTACCATTATTTTATTCTCTAGGATCTCTGATGTCAGAAAATATATCATGTTTGGAGGTTTTGCGTAATCTTCAGGCTAAAATGATTTTTTTAAATCTTGTGCAAAAAAAAAACACAAAAACGACTGGCAGCGAAAGGGTTAAAGGATAAGCCAGACACTCCCCTTTCCTAACAAGCACCCAATCAGTGCTCATTACACTGCAAGTGGAACTCTAGGTTCGCAGGAGTCCTGCATGGCACCAGTAATCTCCTGATCGCTGGTGCAATACTTACGGCGCTCCAACAAAATAGAAAAAAAAAAAAATAGTAAATGCACATTTTTTTTTAACCTGCATTTATTGATTTTTTTTTTTTTTTTTTTTTTTTTTTTTAAGTGAACTTATCCATTAATGTAATTTCAAGAGTCAGTCTCAATCTTTTAAAATCTGCAGCTTTTATTAAAATACCTGGTAATACTGCCACAAAGGTCCTTGTTCAGGCACTTCTTTTATGTGGCGATAACATTTTCTCCCTGTCTCCTAAATGCTCCCCTTACATTGGCACCCCATCCCTTAGGCTTCTGGTAGAGACAAAAAAACAGCCATGCCAAAATGCAGAACGCAGACACGTTTCGCTATCACCATCAGAAAAACTCTGAGAAAAGACCAGTAACTGCCGGATTGCATGCATGTATGAAGTTAATGCAAAAGAGCTGAAGAAGATCAGCAGCACTGAGAAACAAAGGAAAAAAAAGTGAAAACTGCAGTTTATAAAAGAAAAAAACATGTCAGTTTATTCTTTGGAAAATAAAATGTCATCTTTAAACAGCCATGTCTCTACTACTAAATAAAGCTTTTATCTGATTAAAAGTAAAACTTCCTAACTTTTGCGGTTTACAAGTTACCTTAATGACGGTTCTCCTAGGTCTGGATGTAGTTACCTACTGTTTTCAAGTGAAAACTTGGGGTGCCTGCAAGTACATGATGTGTTATTTTTCAAATACATATTGATGTCCCTGTGGAATCCTTAAGGATTCAAGGCCCAGACTGTACATGAATACTCGCGTCACAAATCCCAGAAGGCTGCAGCTATGAAGCCGCAAGGATTCACAACAGGATTCCCAGTTATCATGGCAGTGCCAGGGACCCCAAGATCGGCAAAGAACTGGCCTTGGTGAGGACAGCAGAAGAACCGACTTAGGCTGGTTCCTGATGAACTAGCCAAAATTTGGACAGTGGATGGCCCAGTTGGTACCAATACGCCCAACATCCTTAAACTGCCAAATCGAACCATGCAGGCACTGTTCAGGTACTTGGATGACAGCCAGACGCTGACAAGCTGTCAAAATATAATATCTGCAACTAGAGATTCCTCTATCTGTACTGTTTAGCATGGATGGAAGAACCTGTTAGATTTTGTTTGTTAAAGTGTTACTAAACCCAGGATGCTGCATTCTCCCACAGTACACAGAACATGGAAGTGCAATTATTTTAGTAAATATAAACTGCTAAATACCTTTTCTCATCAGCAGTTAGAGCAGTCTTGTGTCTTCTATCAGTGTCCAGCAGAGCACTGGTTAAAGCTTGGAGGAGTTTTCTTTGCGCTCTAGGAGGATGCAAAACCCCTGACCTCTGTCTGGACAGTGCCGATTGGCCCTGTGCTGATCACAATCACTCTCCCAAGAAAAAAAAACCTCCCAAGAAAAAAAAAACCTCTCTAGCAACACACACTAAACCGAGCATGTGCAGAATGGCTATGGGTTCAGTTTGTCTTATCAGGAGATAAGACGTGGACATCTGAACAAGAGAAGGGGCAGAGAAGACAGGAGCAAATGGCCTTTTTACACAAAGCAGATGATTAACCCCTTAGGTTTCACAGTGAGTATAACAAGCATGCTTTACTGCATATATAGACTGATTTTACGATTGTGGGTTTAGTAACACTTTAAGACAGCAGGCTGAATGAAAAAAATTGATGGGTATATGGCAAACTTTATTCAGAATTTGAAGTTCCTTGTACAGCCAGGGATCCAAAGCAGGTTCCACAGATATGAATGTGAAGACTAACACCATAAGGTGCCTTCCCTTGAAGGTGGTTGATAACATGTCAGGGCTGCTTTTATTTTAACTGTTTCTTTTTTTTTTCAATTTACAGAATACAAAGTGAGCAAACAGAAGAAAAATCTAATCTAATCAATTTGCTGTGACCACCCTTTGCCTTCAAAACAGCATCAATTCTTCTAGGTACAATTGCACACAGTTGTTGAAGGAACTTGGCAAGATGTTCCAAACAACTTGTAGAAATAACCACAGGTCTTCTGTGGATGTAGGCTGCATCAAATTCTTCTCACTCTTCATGTAATCCCAGATAGACTATGTTGAGTTCAGGGTTCTGTGGGGGCCAGACCATTACTTCCAGGACTCCTTGTTCTTCTTTCCACCAAAGATAGTTCTTAATGACACTGGCTGTATGTTTGGTGTCGTTGTCTTGCTGTAGAATAATTTGGGGCCAATCACACACCTCCCTGATGGTATGGAATGATGGATGCATATCTGCCTGTATTTCTCAGCATTGAGGACACCACTGATTGTGCAATACGGAGGACCATAGCCGCAGTAGTTGGCCTTAAAAAAAACCTGTGTGAAAATATACCTAGAAAAAAACTTTTGATGGTTTAAAGTCAAAAGGGTAGTCACAACAAATATTGATTTGATTAGATGTTTCTTCTGTTCGCTCACTTTTCATTTTGTAAATTGATAAAAGTAAACAAAAATATATTTTTGAGCGCATTCTAACTTTACAGCATGTCCTCACACTGGCCTAAAACTTTTGCACAGTATCGTAAATATCTAGTTTCCTATCACTTTGGTCAGGCCACAAAGGCAGACGAAACGAATAACCAGGCAATACCTCTAACTCCAAAATAGGCAAGCAAAACCCTGGAGCCAGGAACCCAAAAGATGGATTATGACAGGAAGACACAAATATCTATTTTTATATTACACACAGGTGTAAGTAATCACTGCCCTCTACTGGACAGAGAGCTGTTTATACCTCTTGGTAAAATGACCACACATTACTAATGTTAACCAAACACGCCTGTCATGAGTCAGAAACTAAATCTGCTTATTCATACCACATAAAAGTTCCAGTACAATGCATGGTAAAAAAAAAAAAAATGTTAGCTGGAAACTAAACTTTTGGAATCCTTTTCCTTGCCTAAACTGAACACCATGACTTTGTACTACACATCTGGGGCGTTTATATGTAAAATTGTGTAGGGTTCATTCAGACTCACGATTAAGCCTGTCCTCTGTGCAGAACCACCGGCAGATGTGTGTGCATCTACATCAGAGCTGCCTATAGGCAGCCCATAGTAGTGGACACACAAGCAGTGCCAGCAAGGACACAATTGCATGTCAAAGTTGGGTGCCCTTAAAAGTGTATACACAGGGCTGCACAAAATACAGGTTGGGCGTATTTCCCTGCATGTGCTCTTTACAGCCCCCCCGGAGACAAGAGCGGCTGTACACAGGTATACATGGATACTTGATAAACCTATGCATGCGTACAGACAAAAACCCTAATGCATTCGGGTCGCAGAAGTCTGTATGCATGTGCAGGCTTGTTGAAGTACCAATGTATACCAGAATAAAGCCATTCAAGTCTATGAAGCCGCTGTACGCTTCACCTGCGGCTCTCGGGCATACGCTGTGCCATGTATATGTACCCTAAAGAAAAATCCCAACATTTCTCTTCATAAACAAAGCACAGGTTTGCCATGAAAAGATACCTGGATGACTTCATTCACTTCACGGATGCATTCCACCATGTGCTGTAGGATCTGCTCAGCCGTAAGGACCTCATATCGATAGTCCTCATCTTCCTCTCCACCAGGACCGGGCCCTAGCACACCTACTCCTCCTTCTCCGCATATCCCAGCTCTTTCCGACCCACCAAGTCCAGCTTCCACCAATTCTACTTCTCCAAGCTCCAGTTCATCTTCGTGCTCGTCCGCCGCGCTGTCTTCGCTGCACTCCTCGTCTTCGTCATATTCGTAGTTGTACCCTTCGTCTGAGTCCATGATCCCAACCGGAGATCAAGGTGGAAAACGCGAAGCGATACTGCAAACGAAATTAGAAGCCCCGCCGCTGTGCGTTGGGCAGTCCCGTGTCACCGAGGCAAGGACACAGGCGGCATAAAGGACAACAACGGAGGCGGCCTTGGCTCCACACACAGCTCACACCACCGCAAGCCTAGCCTCTTCAGAAATCTACCGAGACAATTAACCCCGGGCGATCCTGATGGGACTAGCGATGTCAATGAGAGGAGGACGCCTCAAAGCTCCTACGTCTGCAGGCAGCACACACTTTATGACCGGACACCGGGCCGATATGTCGCTGGGCGCTTTCTAAAAGGATTCTACACCCGGTGAATATTGCGATGAAAAAAAGAAAAAAAAAACTTTAGACTTCTCGTCGCGGTGGGACGGTTACAAATCAATAGGCGTCACGTCCCCACCGTGTAAACGATCGCCGTAAAAGTCCTAACAAACGAAAAAATACCTGACTAGCTACGTAACATGGCATCTGTCCATAGGACTGGCCGGGGCAGGGCGAGGTGATGACCCAGCTAAGAGGGTGGACCCTGGATCAGTAGTGTGTGCCCATACACAAACAATGGAATAGAAGGCTGCAGATGGGGCTGGCTGGGGTCAGGACTGGCGTAGTGTGTCTCTTCTAGAACCCGGATGAATGAGCCTCTGCTCCCCCCACACCAGGCTCTGCCTGTCTAACAGCACAGGAGGCTGCTACGTTCTACACGGGGCTCCCTCTCTGCTCCTGTGTCCGGTGAACAGACCCGGCTCCCTGGACTCTCCTCAGCACACGGGGGGCTATCTCCGGTGTGTCCGAACCAGGCAGGCCTCAGGCCCCTGAATCACCGCCCCTTCTGAGAGCGCGCTCCCGCTCCGGTCACTGCGCGCCCCCCAGGAGTTGAAGGCTCCGCCGCTGTTCTTCCTCCTGTACACGCTCCAGCCGCGCCGTTCCCCGCGCTCTCGGGTTTCCCCCCTCCCCAGTGGACTGACAACCCCCCCTCCCCCGGTACCGGTCTCGGGGAGACACCGCGCAGCTCCAGTCGCTGAGCCAACAAAGGGGCGGTAGCGTCACGCACGGGCACGTTAGCGCATCACCACCTGAGCGACGACGGCACGGAGCTTCCGGCGCGGCTGGCCCGCCATGTTGGAGGAGGAAGTCGGTAGAGGAGATCGAGCGAGAGTGGGAGGAGTCTGTGAGGTGCCATTTTGGAGGTGGCAGGGTAGGCAGGGAGGACTGGGGGCTACCGGCGATGTAGAAGGAATGCCATTATGGAAGCAGTACATAGTACAATGAGCAACTTATCAGGTCTGGATCCGTACAAAGTCATTTTAAAGGCGCTTACATAGAACAACGAGCAGCTTATCAGGTCTGGATTAGTACCAGTGACCGGACACAGGTAGCAGGGGCCATGTTATAGGTGGCAGAAAGTAAGTTGCTCATGGAAAGTCCAGAACGGGTAATATTGGAAGGCAGTGCAGCCTGTGTTGTTGTTAGGGTTTGTTTAGACATGCTTACAAATTGTACATACCATGGACACCCATTAGTGCTTAAAGTGATATTACCCACTTACCCTCCTGAGGATTTACCCCTCTTCCTGACCAGACCATTTTGTTGTGGGTACTTGTCTGTTAATTCACCGGATTTATTTTATTTATATATATATATATATATATATTATATATATGTTTCATTTAAATATATATATATATATATATATATATATACGGTGAATTAACAGACAAGTACCCACAAAAAATGTTACTTTAACTGACAATTATGTGGTCATGCAACGCTGTACATAAGTGAAATGTATGTCCCTTTTTTCCCCACAAGAGCTTTCTTTCGGTGGTATTTGATCATCTCTGCGTTTATTTTTTGCGCTATAAGCAAAAAAAGACCGACAATTTTGAAAAAATATGTTTTTGACTTTTTGCTATAAAACATATCCAATAAAATATCCAAAACATATCCAATAAAATAAAAAAAAAAAATCTAATTTCTTCATAAATTTACACGAAGTTATAGAGTCTAAAATTGGCGGCATATATGCTGGAATTTTTTTTATTCTTTTATACTAGTAATGGCAGCGATCAGCGACTTATAGCGGGACTGTGGCGGGCATTCTGGCACTGGTGGGGAACTGACTAACTGCCAATGACATCCCCAGTGACGTTAATACAGTGATCAGTGCTAATAAAAAGCACTAACACGGTATTAATGACACTGGGCAGGAAGGGGTTAATATCTGGGGCAATCAAAGTGTTAGCTGTGTGCTGTTTTACATAATGTGCTGCTATTTGTTTCAGCCATTGATGGCTCTTGTCTTCATTGTAGTGCCATACACCTACAAACCGACCTCTTAGAGATGTCCATCAGAGAACTGCAGAGGGAAACCGTTGCCTTCTCAGTCCAGTTGAAAGAGTCTATCATCCTGGGTCCTTCGTGGCTGCAGCAACACTCCTCAATTTTAAACTGGCCTACTCTTAAGGCTGTCTTACAGTTCTCCATGTCTGATGCCTTTCTTCTCCTACAGCTACCAAAGTAGTACCATTGGTCCAAACCATGATTCCTCCACTGGTTCCTGATATTTTTCTAAAGGCAATGCTGACACCTTGCCGCAACACCACCCTTTGGACCATGTCATTGACCTTGTCACGGGATCTTCTCCTTTGTGTGGTAGAACCTATCCCCTCTCAATTCCCGAGATGCAATCTCAGAAAATATAAAGAAAGGCT